GAAAGTAACGGTGGTCAAACACCTGAAGCTTTCTCATATCTTCCATCTTCAATGGCCTTGTTTAATAGCCATACAGCAAAACAGAGCGAACTGCTGTGCCGTGTGTAAAAGAGATAAAATGTGGACATAATTCTACCGAGTGATCGATGACATGTGACTGCTGGCATAATCCGAATTCATAGAATGCGCTATTGTTGGTTCTGGCTTTGTTTCTTCCCTTCCTAATCAGATGTGCAAGTCTAATTTCACTTTGTATTAGTTACTTGATAGACAAACATTTGATGTTTTTCAATGCCGAAAATTTGCATGAAAGTACTTTTACTGTAAAGACTAACTTACAATTGTAGTTTACTAGGGATTCCCTAGTCTTTATACGTTGAATACAAGATTTTATTATCATTATTATTTTCCTCTTGGGTTCTTAGTGGAACATAGAGCTTCACTAGCAGGCCTCCATCCCACTGTCTTCTCTCCAGTCTTTTCAACCTGGGTCCACCACTGCCCACAGTCTTTCATTTCTTTCTCACACCATCTCCACCATGTCAGCCTCGCCTCGAACGCACAACTCTTCGTTTCCCCTTTGGATTCTACTCGAGGGCCGGCACGTGATGTCCCCAGTTGGCCTTCTGAGTGTATGCCCAATCCAATCGATCTCCACTTTCGTGACGCATCAAGTCTCTCAGCCATCACATGGAAGCACTGACTTGAAGTTGGTGTTGAAAATGCAGATCTTGTTCATACTTTATGCTGAGTGGAGAAGATCTTCACAGTGATTTCAGATTAGTGAAGCCTGTCTTGCTGTCTTTCCGATCCTGGTTTTGACATCCTCGTCTGTGCCGCCTGTAGTTGAAATGATGCTGCCTAGGTGGGTAGGTGAAAGGGACTACTTCCTTTAGGTTTCTCCCGTTGGTGGTGATTGGTGCGTGTTGTTGTTGTTGGTTGGGTATCTTTATCACCTCCGTCTTCTCTGCATTCACTTGATGTCCCGTTTTCGCTTCTCTGCCTCACCTCTTCTGTCAACTTGTTAGTTTTCGCTTGTAGATCTTCGAGTTTGTGCGACATTAAAAACATAAAGCATCAGCGAAATCCAAATCTTCTAAGGTCTTTTCATCGGTCCAGCCAGCGTATGCCGATGTTCTCACTCCTCACAGTTTGCTGCATGATTCAGTCTACCACAATCACGAATAGAATTTGAGGGTTTGTGGGAATTTAGAGATTTTTCAAGTTGGTATTCGTCGTGAACTGACATCAGTTGGAGGAATACTGGAAGTTTAAATTATGCATCATTGGATTCCGACCTAGAGGCTCAATGGTAGCGTACGGGCCACGGAACGTGAATATCGTTGGTTCGATCACTGGCGGGGTCGTGGGTGCGCACTGCTGAGGAGTCCCATACTAGGACGAAACAGCTGTCCATTGCTCACAGGTTCCCAACGTTCCACCAACTGATATCAGTTGACGATGAATACCAACTTGAAAAATATGAATAATAATTGAGTTGTTTCTTAGGGAATATGTACATAATTTTCTGATTACTTTTAAGAAACACAATAATTATTGTCTTCAGATATTGTTTGGCTACCTATTAACGGGATAAAGTTTAACATTGATGTATATTCAATTCTTGTGCTTTAAGCATTATAACTTATCCTTATATAGAAAGTATACGGTAAATAATTCTACACGAATATTTTTCTATCATTATTAATTTGTTTTTCGCCTTTGTTGTAGAAGAAAATCTGTTAAACTGGGATATCAATTGATATCCTGTCTATGAACCTTTATCGATTGACCTACCTCGTTATTTCGTGCTAGGAGAACTTAGATTAAGCTGGTTGAGAGTCCAGGGTGTCAAGACCGAGACGTGACACCAGTCGATGAAGTCTCTAACCCTTGGTTTGAACCGTGTGGGGGAGATATAGACTCCCTGACTGGGGTTCAGGAAACGGTAAGAATAAGTGGTTGAGGACTATTGGTGAAATCCCTAATGCCCTCTAAAACTTCACCTCGCACCTATGGGCGAGGCTTTCCGTTGATTCTATCTGTCTATTAATGATCTTCTGAAAAGATATATATCATACAAGGTAAAATGGAATTTAAAAATGACTTAATGCTTTATATATGTTTTTTTTTGTCAGACATTCAATTCTACTGTGATAAAATCTGTCAGCTGTTGGATGCTATGAGTGAATTAATTGACATCGTGGATAAAAATTTGATTGATCAACAGATATATCGCTTTCGATTCTTTTTTCTCCAATGAATGAAACTCTGCCGTTATCCTTATGTCATTGCCGGTTGCATGTTTCTTCTTCTAGAAATAGAATTGAATACACCTTAGGAAAGGGTGTATGAGAAAGACGGAATTGATATATTCCAAATTAGTATATTACTGTGTAATGTATAACTCAGCGAGTTAGTACAAGCCTATGCAACCTGTCTACACAAGTCAAAGCAGACAGAGTAGAACTAAATTCAGCATCCTTTTTTTGGAAATTGAGTGTCTAAGCTTTCGAGCCATAACTGCATGATATTGTTGCATATGATGAATTTCTGTGTATGTCATATTGATCTTGGTGACTGGTAGAGGAATCCAGGATGCGCGTTTCGTCCTATTTGGGACTCGCCAGTTAGATGTACCTGTACCCCCGTGAGTGATTTTACTGCCACTGAGACTCGAACCCTGTACTCATCTCTTCAAACCGCAGAGTGTTATCCACTAAGTCGCTGGGGTACGATAGCCACCTCTTGTGCAACGGGTATCAGCCGTAATGATACAGAGCTCGAGTGATTCGGCCCTGTATAGCAACTGGAAATTACAACTGTCGTAACAACAATTGGTACCCGTTGCATAAGAGGTGGCTGTCGTGCCCCAGTGGCTTAGTGGATAACGCTCTGGCGTTTGAAGCGATTGGCACTAGGCTCTAGTCTCAATGGGGTGCAGGTACATCCAGCTGTTGTGTCCCAAATGGAATACAACGCGCATCCTGAGTCCCTGTGCTGGTCACCAGGACCAATATAACATCATGAATATCCGACAGTATTGAGGCATCCGAATAAAGGAGCTCATCTGCTAACAGCAGAGGTCGAGGTATTCGGCCATATATAGTCTGTATATGTCATTGGTCATTTTCAGTTACACTAGTCTTAGTGATTGATTATAGTAACAATTTAATGTGTACAATCTAATAGTCCATCGATGTGTTGAGAAGCTTTAAAGCCTACCCTCTGAAAACAAACTAATGGTTCGTTCCATTACAACACTACTCTTAATACGATACTAAGCATGGGCTACAAACCATCATGAGCATGATACAGGACTGCTCAGTGGTGTTTACCCACAACTTGATAATGTATACGAGAAAAATATTTTCTCTTTTTCTTGACATCAACCAGAAACGTTTTATAAACCAAGGAACAGTTGATCGTCTTATTTTTCTACTACACTCACGATCCCATCGGATTTCGGACTCAAAACTGTCAGATTTCATGTCTAGTTTGTGTATGGAATGGCTATACACCAATAAAAGGCTCCAAACTGGAAGAAAATAGATGTTCAGTGTTCCTTGACTTTTTTTTACAAGTTCCCTAACTGATCTTGATGCGTTCTGATCACTAACCTGAAATGATTGACAAGTTCCACCACAAACCTCTCAATTACTCTAGTAGTCATCGATAGTTTAGTCAATCTATGACTGATTACTACATGATTAGCGGCATATTATACTAAACAGAAATATGTACACACAATCGAATCCAAATTACACATTTGGATAGTTTCTCATGATATGTATTGTATGTGCCAAATCTTTGTTGTTGTGGAGATGAAATATTTAGGAAAAACACTATATATCCCATCTAAAACACTCTTTTCATATACAATCCACATACCAGGTGATTATGGGGATAAACTTTTAAAGTTTATCATTTGTGTAAATAGTCTGAAAATGTAACGACCTTTGTCTCCCAACACCTGGAGTTAAATTAGTTCAGGTTATGGCAGTATACTTTTTCGATTGACAAAAATCGTATTTCAAGTAACTATTCATTACGAATTTGCATCAATTAGAGAATTATTGAAAGCATGGGAGCACTAGGTAGCTGTTTCTTTCTAGCATGAAACTCTGCAACAGTGTGCACCAACAACCCCGACAGAGATTGAATCCAAGACCTTCATGTACCATGGCAACCACGTTACCATTGAGCTATTGGGTCGGGAATCTAATGGTTAGGCTCTATGTTGTTAAGCTATATCTATGATGGATACTGTATACGCTAAATACTCGTAGCAATGATACCAACAATTATCATTCATACGTAGAATTTTGCAAAGAGAATAGCTTAGAGGAACCATTGTTATTATGACTGTAGAACAGCATTCATTTATCATTGTTTATATTTAATGCAGATATTGGTTTATTCGTGTATTGGGTTATTAATTTCCCGATTGATCGATTATTTGTCGGGATTTGTTGAAATGTTCATGTATCTGAGTGATTATGTAATTGATTGTGGAAAAGATGAAATAGGATGAATCGTGAAATATACTTCTCAAATCTTAAAGTGCTTATTCTAGTCTGATCTAATTTTGAAATTGTAATATTTGTTCAAATATTAAAACCTTAGGTGTAGAACATTTTAATAAAAGTGATTTTACTCCACAACTATACAACTTAATTGCTCTGAGACAGTGTTTTGCAGGTTTGTCATTAAAGTTGTTTTATGACAAAGATTTCAGTATGTTTAGTAATGATGAGCAGTGTCTAGCAATGGAATCCAGGGTGCGCATTTCAAGCATACAAGCGATAACACTAAACATTTAAGTAATTTAACTGTATTTCACATGTAACATCTTAACAACTACTATGAAAGTAGTCAGTTTCTGAGGATTACAACGAAGGTTAGTTTGTATCAGGTTAACAGAGATCAGTGAATCACAACTTTAGTTGAAATTTCGAGTGATTTTAAAGGCCACTCTAATAACTAGTTTTCCTTTCCAGGTGAAATAGAGAAAACTGATTGGTCACTTCAATCCTTGGTACGATCGTCTTCAAGGTCACTTCAAGATCACACAACCAAATAACCTTGAATATTTATGGATGATAATCCTCTTATGGCTTGTGAATCGTAATGGGGTAAAATTAAATCTTAGAAACAAGCCTAGAGGAAGCAATCACTAGGTTGCTTGTTCTATTCAATCATGTGGTTACACATACATACGGAGTACCTGTTGACTTATCCTACCAAGAGCCATAGACCACATTTCTAAGTGGCTGCAGTAACAAATTGATCTTAGTGATCCAGGCGATAGATGTCTGACTTCGTTGTTAGCTAAACATAACAGTGGAATGGGTGACAAAGTTGATTTGTATTCATCATTCAAATCTATTGGGGGAGATATACTTACTTAATTTTGTTGGACCTTTACCTAGAAGGATGTTTAAACCTTTTTTATGTATTTAGAAACAGTTTTTTGTAACATTGAACTTCTCTTTGTAATTTAGCTTTTTATATCAAGGTTCATTAATATACCCTCTTTTTTTATTCTTCTGCACTTACAATCTCACCCTGTAAGACATGGATTATCTGTTGTTATATTTTATATAGATATGCAGTACAAATAGGTATGTGATGAACTTTCTCAAGATATATTTCACAAATATATCACTTCTTTGGGTCATCTGTGGCGCTGGCAAGATAACCGACTATCTATCAAAAAATGACCATGAGACGTGGTCGTTAAAAGTAGAAGACATGCAGCAGTTGCAGTGTTTTGATTACAGGTGTCTTCGTAGGATCCCTCATGTTTTGTGGAATTACCTTGTGAGCAATCTTGAGGTCAGATGAAGGGTACTAGGCAAGGTAGGCAAGTCAATTCATAAGGTTGTAAACTTTCACCGACTGAGATGGATCGGATATGTGTTGCGCATGTCGAACCATCGCCTACCTCCACATGCCATGCTAGAGTAAGTTTGATTAGGTCTCAAGAGGGTTCAGGGTGGTGAGACCAAGACCTGGCACCAGTCGATGAAGTCTCTGACTGTTCGTCTGAGTCGTGTAAAGAGATATAGACTGCCTGGTTGGAGTCTTCGAGGCGAAGGGAACCAGTGGATGGGGAGTTATTGACATGGCTGGAAATCGGTCACAATGGCGCAGATGTATTCAGTCCTTGACATCTTCTAACCCTAACTGTGGTCTAGTGGATTACCCTCTGGTGTTTGGATTGATCAGTCCTGAGTTTGAGTCCCGGTAGGGACAACATCACTCACTGGGAAACAGGTACATCTAGCTGACGAGTCCCAAATAGGGCGAAACGCACGTCCTGCATTCCACTGCTAGCCGCTATCCGTCACTGTTATGTTTATTCTTTCACACTGCTTTGTCTACTTTGATACCAGTCTTTTTTTATTCATCCGTTCTTTGTGTTCTACTGTGAAGTGAGCCAACTTGAATTGGTGCACCTGTGGGCGATATTCTACGTTGGTTTTGTCAGTCAATCTGTCTGTCATTTAAACTGCACCTTCGCATTGTTTCTCGAATTTCTTTATGATAAGAACACTACGGTTCATTATCCTGTTGTGTATGTACTTCTTAGTGCGTTTACTCTGCTAGGGCTTTTGCACATTGTAATTAAATAATTATGATAATGGGTGGTAAGATTCAAACCGTGGCAAGATTCGAACCAGGTTATTAGCGAAGCTATGAAATGAGAAATTGAGATAGTTTTATCATTTGCTAGGGTGTAAAGTTGAAACAGGCCATGGATGTCCCACTCTTATTTATGCTTTTTAAATCAAGAAAACTAATACAGCATAGATTCTAAGCAATGCACCATATAAGATAATGATAACGAAATTACGAAGATACAGAAGTGATATAAAGGGAAGTAAGAAAATTTAGGGTAAATAAAGTTGACGGATTATTAATAGAAGAATCTCAAGGACTCTGTCAAATACGTATTCATTTATACTATTTGATAGCATGATCACCGTTGATATTTCCCTTCTAAGATGTATCTGATAACGTTCCAATCCATAAAATTGCATATTCCCTTCAAGCTTCATTCATGCAATTCTGATGCACAGCCAAAGGCTGATCGAATGCAACTGTCTTTCATGCCATTGTATCTGATCATGCACTGACTGAATCTCCACTTCTTTCATATAAACCCGAGAAATAGCAAATAATGAATAGTATGTGAATGGCTGAAATGAAATTTGCAACACAAACTCAACTTTTTGAAACCGATGTTATGTGAAGGGTACTAGGCAAGACAGGCAATTTGGTTGATGAAGTTGTGTACTTTTATCAACCAAGGTATTTTTGGCACATATATTGTGCATGCCGAACCATCTCCTACCTCAACGTGCGATACTAGCAGGAATTGGATCAGATTGAACTATGGCTCATGGTGATCAGGCGGAGACATGGCACCAATCCATAAAGTCTGACTCCTGGTCTGATCTGTAGATCATCTGGTTGGCGTCTCTGAAGCCGTAGGAATCAATGGCTGAAGACTCCTGGTAAAATGGCTGAAAATTAGTCACAGTGACCCAGATCTATCCACTCTTTGGACATTTTCACTAAACTTGACTTTCGAATTTCTTCTGCTAATATACACCTTTGTCTACTTTGGTATCACTCTTCTAATCCTTTGTTCTTTGTATACTACTGTGAAGTGTGGTAACTTGATGCGGTGAATTTTTGTTCGAGATTCTATAGTGATTTTGTCTATCTATCAAATATTCACTGCCTAATCTCAGAAATATTGACATAGTGTTCCCGGTAGATGCCAGCAACTCTAAAAAGCCAAAGTTGGTCAAAATGGAAGTAATTTGAAACTACATACATGTTAGATTTGTATACAGCAGCTTGACAAAATAATCAGCTGCCGCATTAAGACTTAAATTTATCTAACAATTGAACTTCTTAGTAATGATGGGCAGTGGAATCCAGGGTGCATATTTCGTCCTATTTCGGACTCGTCAGCTGGATGTTCCACCGGGACTCGGTAGCAATCGCTTCAAAAGCCAGAGCGTTTCTAACTACACCACCGCCACTGCCCATCGTTACTATGCATAATTAAAACAGGCAATATCGAGGCATCCGCACAGGAGCCCATATGCCAACAGAGACTGATCAATTCGGTCCAGTCAACGACGGTGTCATACAAGTAATAACACTGATCTTAGTTCAAATATTAGAATGTTGCATCATGATTCTGAAGATTTTCCCTTCTTATCCAGCTATCAGTCGAATTCCTTCACGAATGCTGCTACATTCTATCAATATTCCAGTTATTTTCTCCATAGCGTATCCAAATAAATCAGATAGTTAATTGTGGGAGTCTGATTATATGAATACAAGTAATATTAAGCGACGATTAGGATGAATACTTCAGTATACTTGGCACCACTATGATACTTTTAAACATGTCTGGACTGAAATAAATTAGGAGCTAAGAGTAGGCGTGCAGGCTGACTAGTTCAGTTACACGGTTAGTTGCAAGGAATCTGACTTCTACTTAACTTTCGAGGAGATGTAAGGAAGGGATGCACTCAGACGCCTTGTGCACATCCATGCAGCAGGTAATGAGCCACATCTATAGTGTGAGGGTTAATGATACTGCCTGGCTGCACAGTCCTCGGTAGGCGGAGTGGGGTTCGAACCGGCGACCCGATAGCTGGTAGATATTTCCTTAAGCCACTGTGCTACAGCTCCACTTCGGGGAGATGTAATAAACTCAGTCGATGTTTTATGACTTTGATGTCATGGAAAGGAAAACATGAATTTCTATGTACAACACAATTGGGCTTTTGTTATGCACCATTGTATGAAGCTAAGAGAATTTTGCTGTTTTATTTTTTTGTAATAGACTTATAGACCCCTTTATATACTAAAATGATTCACCAGATGCATATAGTTTGAAAGGTCTGAAGGAATACTAATGTATGTCATTGTTGTTGATTTTATTTACTTATAGTTTCACAAGATTTATGGTCACTGGCTGAGAAGATCAGCTGATAGTGTCTAACCTCTATAAACATGTTTTGATCCAAGTGACAGTAGTCTCAGTCAGTACAGTTACAAAAATGTAAATAATAAAGGATGTTTGAAATGAGAGTCAAGAGGCAAAAAATAAGAAGATAAAGAATATGCAGACTGTTTATAACACCGGTGAACGAGTCCAACGTCAAACCTTGGACACTAGTTCATTGGTTCAAGTTACCAGAATCCACAGTTAGCATCTATGGAACCAATGGATAAGAAAATACTGATATCAAAGCAGACGAAAGTGTATGAGAGGAGAAGGAATTTGAAAATGAAGGTTGGTGAAAATATTCAATCGTTTGAAAATATCAGAGAGTGAATAAATCTGCGCTATTGTGACCGATTTTCACCCGTTACCAAGGTTCTCCAACCACTAACTCTTATCACCTCTATAACCCCAACCAGGTAGTCTACCCCTCCCCACACGCTTCAGACCAACAATCAGAGACCGTCGACTGGTCGTCATCAAAATCATGATAGGACCAGGCGTTGCTGCGTAACGGACCAAGTTGCCACACCCCATACCAGCACATCAAGTAACAAGGCAATAATATGGAAGATGAATAAAGAAGGTAAAATCGGTCAAAAGAAGTAGAAAGTAGTAAAAGACATAAAGGGGAATGAAAAAATGGTGAAATTAAGTATAGCGGTTAGGATGAGAATAATGTGTGTATACATCTGCGCCACTGACTTCAGTCCTGAGTCATGTCACCTAGAGTCTGCAACCACTGGCTTATCTTGTCCTGTGGACTCTAACCGGCTAGTTTGCATCTCCCTACATGGCTCAAACGAACAATCAGTGACTTCATGAATTGATGCCATGTTTTAGTCTAGCCCCCTTGAGCCTTTTTCGAGCCTGAACCTACCTCTCCTGTGTAAAACTCTACACCTGACTTCTGTGTTACTCATATGGTGACAGCACGAAACACAGCCTACGCTACGAAGGCAACGGTGGCTAAACACCTGAAGCCTTCTCATGTCTTCCACCTTTAATAGCCATATCTCACACCCACACAATAGAACAGAGCGGACTGCAGCACAGTACACTCGACCCTTAATAGGCAATTTAATGGCAAAAGTTAACAAAAGCCAACCGACTGGTCACATGTCTTGGTCTCGCCACCCTGAACCTTATATTCATTGGCTTATAACATAATTCTGTAAGGTATTAGTGCCATAGTGACGAGTTTTAATCAATGACAGTACTCTTTAAGGAGTTGTTTGTGCCGTATTATACGTTTACCTTGAGGTATCTGTAAAAAGTATTTGTTGTTCTAAGCACTTAACTATTCACATATTTTTGTTAGATCATATAAAGGAATTAGGTATTCACTAAAGACAAACTCACCAAAATCTTATATATATATATATATATATATATATATATATATATATATATATACACCGAACTCTTCTATGTGTTTATACTGGCTTACAGGATATATTTCTTCA